CTAATAATGGACGCTACACTACATTTAGGGAAAATGAGATCCAGCTCTGATGAGGTCCATCATATGATGGACGAAAGCTCAGCCCGTTTTCACACGAAACGAGGGAGTAAGCCTCGTGGACTGCGTTAACCCAAACATCGTATAAAAGCTGTCCTCTTCTAGTGACATCGGTAGAGGTAAATCCTGCCCTGGTTTCCTATTGGGCCACATCACAAATCTATCCAGATAAAATTTTCCTTTTTAATGAAATGGCAAGCAATGCAACAGACCTAAGCCAAGCACACATTGGGGAAAGGTGTTCGAGGGCTACGTTATAGAATTATGAAGAGAAATTGGTCTTAAAGAAATTGCTTGGCATATCGAGGTAGGATTTACCGACATTTCGACAGCGAATGTGAGAAAAAGATTGTTTGCTTGATCTCATCAGAAAACGACGCAAAGTTGTCTAGTTTTTTTGGGTTATCCTCCAGATACCCTTATTCAGTTTCGGCGAAGACGTGCCTATTTACCACTTGTTATGCTAATCGACGGAAGTGAAAAGAGCCCAGACAGGTTTAGATGGCAATCTCAAGCTTGAAACAATTTGAAGAACCTACACATTACACACCTTCACTCGAAATTGAATCGTGTAGCCAAGATGAACTCAGACAAAGTGTGTGAATGTAAAGGGAAGCCGGGCTGGTGAAGTGATGGGATGGAGCTACGAATCTCTTGTTGAGGCGGATTGACACGCGGTGATTCGGCAAGTTGAACAGCGACTCATGCCCCAATCAGCCCGTCCAAGCAGCTTCGGCCAGACAGCCCAACTCCCCGACGGCCTTCACAGACGGTTCGGCACGATCAGGCCTCGTCGTCATGCGGGCAAGGTCCAAACTGGGGTTGGCTTCGGCCATAAACCGACGACGCGCCAAAAGTCAATCAGGTTGGGGTGAGTGGCGCCAGCAGTTCGTCTCGAGACGTGCCATCTTTCAGCTGCTGGCCCCTCCTGGCCGGCCAGTCCCAATCCCAGTCCCAGTCCCAGTCCCAGTCCCAGTCCCAGTCCCATTCTCAGTCCCATTCCCAGTCCCAGTGCCATCTTCGGCTCAGCTTCCTGGCCTCATTCATCACTTTGGCAACGGTCTAGACATCGCTTCTCCTCGTCCAGCCGGCACAGACCTACGGGGACGTCCGAGGGCCATTAGACGAACGGGCCCAACGACAGGTCGGCCAGCCGGCCAGCCGACCAGACCAGCAGACGACCAGCCGAATAATAAAACAGCTGAACAGCCACGCAGCCGACTTGCCCACAAAATAGCCAGTCGACCAGATGAACAACCGACTTGCCAACAGTCGAATATGTCCTTTTCTAGCCGAGGGTGATGATACCAAGCGTTGTTGGGTTTCCAAAGCGAAAGAGAGAGAGAGAAAGAGGTGAATAGAAGGATAGTTTGGTAGATAAACAAATTTAAATATAAATAGATGTAGATAGATTGATAGACTGACTGACTGACAGACAGATAGATAGATAGATAGATAGAAAAAAGAAATATATATATATATATATATATGAAGATAGATAGATCGATAGATAGATAGATAGATAGGTATATAAATAGAGAGATAGAAAGAAAGAAGGATAGATAGATAGATAGATATGTAAATAGATAGATAGATAGATAGTTAGATAGATATGTAGATAGATAGATAGATAGATAGATAGATAGATAGATAGATAGATAGATAGATAGATAGAT